AGTCTCAGATCAAGCCAAAAAGAATTAGGACTTAAGCACAGTCATCAGGTCCTGCTTGTGTCTTATTTACAGTGGGGTAAGATGATAAAAACAGCAGTGGTACCACTTGAAAAAAGCTGGCAGGAGAACAGGACAGCCCTAACTGAGTCCTCTGCAGGACACATCAGAGATTTCCAGGAGAGTGACTAGACTTAGCATAGGTTTCTTGGGACCAGCTCCCTGTACCCTCAGACTTGAACACCTGTTGCTCTTCACAACCAGCTGATAACTACCTGACCCAGAGATGCCTTTGTGGAGGGCATTTTCAGATCACACTTTCATATTGCACTACTTTACTCTTCATACAACCCCAGCTGGCTCTCTAGCTTGTGTACTACACTGTAATCCTCTCTGCTGCCAATGGCAGCTCCCCAACAGTGCTACCACCACACCTTGCAGGTGCTCTTATATGGTAAGGGAACATTGGTGGATGTAGCAAAATGTGCAGAGATGCACAGATTCCCTGCGAAGAGTAGGGCATCCCTTCTCTTGCTCAGGCTGTGCACTAAAGGCCCTGGGTGACTTCCAGGACTGCATCAGTGCTGAAGACTTCATGGACAGATGCCACTCTGCATGGACCATGCTGTCCATGGCCAGCCAGTGTGCTGGCTGGTCAGACTGCCCCAGCTGACAAGACTGATGGACCTGAGCACCATCCATTGAGATGATTTGAAATCTCTCCTCTTTCACTAGCTGTCTTTAGGGAATAGAATTCAGTGATCTCCCCAAGTAGCAATCGGACATGTCTGTGTTAGGCTCATCTGATATTACTGAGCCATCACAAAGGGACCTAAACAAATACATCTTCAAAACCTAATGCTATACAATGTGTTTTTCCAGCTCCATCAACCCAGATGTTGCATTTGCATGAGTGAAGCCACACTTACACCTCAGGAAGTTGCAAGGCAGGGCTTAACCCATATTACAGTGATGCCTTTTCATGGACTGGACCTCCATTTCTTGTTCTTGAAAGATACAACAGATAGCACAAATGCATTCTTTTTCACCATAGGCTCAAGCTCGTTCAAAATAAATAACAGCAGCAGAGTCAGTGGGGTTAATGAGGTAACTGCAACTTCACCCTGCAGCATCTTTCTTTTGCCTCCCCCAAGCACATCTAGAGGCTGTAAAAAGAAGCCAGAGCTGCTAACAAAGAACAAATTCAACTTCAGTTTTTGACATGAGAAAGGTGAAAATAATCAAACACAAAGGCCAGAAACATGTTGATTTATCTCCAAGCACACTGAGATGTTAGATTTTCTGTTTCCTTTTGCCTACACTCCACAGCTGAGGCTGCACATTTGTGCCCAGTGCTTATGGTTCCTGTAGCAAATACATCTGTACAGCAATGGGCTTCTTGCCAATTAGCTTTTAACTCCAGCTCACATTTTCTGGATAGATTAGATACCAAACCTGTTTTGCAGAAGACACAACATCCTTCACATTGCATCACTGAATGAGCATCTGTTACTATAGTGCTTGGGTGTTATTTCCTAGATGACCAGGGAACTGCCAAGTGAGCTTGCCCACCCAGGCCATTCCATTTTCAACATCCTTTTTTTTTTTTTTTTTAAAGGCAGGAAGCCGACAAATGAAAATAAATGCCAGCAGAGCTCAAAGCCTCCCTGTCACCTCAGGACCCAATCCTGTAAAATACCAATATTTCCTGTGAAAGATTGAGTGCTTTCATGCTTCACTAAGCTTTTTCTGACAGCTGGGACAGCCTCGGCAGCCTGCAGAGCTGCTTTTCTTACAGAGAAAAGGGAGACATCCACTACTGATTTACTGAGGTCTTTTGACTTTGGTTCAGGTTATGTTTTTTTTAACAAATGCACAAGCTTTCTTCCCCAGTTCCTTTAATACACAGCTGCTATTTTTTTTTTCCCACCAAGCTAAATCCAATAAAACCTCCCTGTCTGAAAACAACGTTTTTGTTGCTCAGCAGTCTAGAGGCTTGTCTCAGGACTGGTTGTCCTTGTCCTCAGAGAATAAAAGTGGGATTACCAAAGTCCTACAGGAACAGAAGTGTGAACATCCAAAAGAGCAGCAACAGCCTCAAAACTGTCAACAAAATAGATAATTCTCACGCCAACCAGTTTCCCACGCACAGCACAGCCCTTCTCTCATGTACAGTGTGAGACTATTTGCAGAACTACAGGGAATGCCCAGATAGGTGAGGAAAAAATTCAGTCCAAAGCTTGAAAGGGAAGAAGCTGCTTGGCTCTAAAGAAAAAAGCTACTTCTCAATTTACTGATAATCTGACACCACGGCTGTGATCCATCTCTTTCACCTTTGTCTTTAAGAGATACTTTGCCTAAAATATGTTAGAATCACATTTGCTTTTTCCTCCCACCATTGTAACCTGGTTTTGGCCCCGTTACTCTGAGTGGGCTTTATCTCACCTGACTTAAGACATGTGGTTAAAGTGAATAGAAAGAGGTACTTTCAAGGAGACAGACTATTCTGATCCATTTTTGATCTCTAACATAGAATAAATCCTGCCCACAATGACTGTAGTAATGACCTCCGTTGATTTAAAGACTGTTGAGAGTGATGAGCTTCAATGCAGGTTATCAACATAAAAAGAGATAAATTCTCACTTTCTCGAACTACCAACCTGTCCAAACTGCTCTGCCTGTGTAGTAGCTATTTCCAAAAACACCATCTCATGGTTTTCCAAGAGAATCTGTGCTTGAGTCTCCTAATGGTATGTCTTTACAGTTCTATTTACAGTCTAATTAAATACCTTGCAGCAGTAGTGCTTTGCAGCAAAGATCCTGGAAATCTGCAAAAGACCTGAAGTCTGTCAGTCATCTGCTTATATTTTCTGAGTATTATTTGAACTGGATGCTAATCCCTTCTGGGAACTATCTTTAGACTGTAGGAACAGCCCTCCACAAGTAGCTCTACACAAGACCAGAGGTTAGATGCAAACGGGGCAAAACAGTGAGAGAAAATGCAGTCTCAAGATGGTAAGACTCACACTGAATCATTTTAAAACCATCATTTTCTATCCACCAGACATGTCAGATATTCCAAAGTCAAAAGAAAACAACTTTAAAAATGTCCCATCAAGAAAAGATAATTCATGTCAGACCCAAGATTTAGGTATTTGCCTCCAACCAGCTCTGAAGAGTAAGTCTCACCAGAAGGCATGAACCTCTCTGATGTGGCACTAGACACACATTGCTGTGTGATAAGCCTGTTGTCTTCCCACCTGCCTGGAACGGTGGGTCTGGGTTTCTCACTGCAGACTCCATATCATGGAAATAAACTGCATCAAACTGCAACAACATTTAGAAGGAAACAAGAGTGTGAATCATGTACAAAAGTTATAAAGTACTCACCAGGTCGCCTGTCCCAGGCTTTTCCATAATAACTGGGGGGAGCAGTAACCCTGCAGGAGAAGTAGGGTCTGGGTTGAGTGCCCCGGTGCCTCCTCCTATCAGGGAAACCACACCATTGCAATCCACTGAGCTGTTCCTTTTGCCCATCTGGGTGTAGTTGGGAGTAGCAGGGTGAGAACTATGGCTCACTTGACTTTGCACGCTTGGACGCCTCCCAGATCTTGGAATTAAGAGAGAGCCCCGGTGGCTTTCATTTTCCCCAGCGATGCTGATCTCATCATCGGCAAAATCTGTTTCGGAGCAAGTGTCTCTGCCACGGAGTCGGAAACTGAATACACTTCCGTGGCTGGTTCTGCGCTTCACCAAGTTTGCACTGGGACCATAACTAATGCCAAGGAGAGTCTAGAAACCCCCAGAAAGGAAAAAGGGGAAAGAGAAACAACATTTTGCAACATGTTTTCAGGAGCGAGGAAGTTCTGGGGAGAGTAGTAAGTTCCATTTTAAATCAAGTGCTTCAGAGAAAGACTTACTTACAATTATTCAGCCTCCACAAAGTTAAGAGGTTGAACAGTCATTCCTAGCCATCGGGTATTTGTCTAACATTTGACAATTAAAGACGTACTGAAATAGGAAGGGTCAAGGTGGGATTCAGCTCAGAGCATGATACTTCCTTTACTTCTACTCCCCTGCATAGGATAAGTGCCAAAGGAGCCGGGAAGGCAGCAAAAGGAGAGGAAGAGAGGAGCAGGGAAAGGGATCCAGCTCCAATTTACTGCATTATCACATATCTTCATAACAGCTAGGGAAGGAACAGTGCAGTGGGAGAAGAAGAGATAAAGAAATAGGGCAGGAAATGAACTGCAGGGAAAATGAGAAGAAGAGGGAAGAAGAAGAAGCAGAATACGACGGAAGAAGGTGATAAAAGAAAAAAACAACAACAACAAAAACAACAAACCAAGAGCAAGAAGAGGGATATGGTTTATTGGTTTGTAAAATAATTATCTCAATGCACATGGCTGCTTAAGGGGTAGGTAACCTCAGTACACAGCAGTCTCCTTCACTCAAATATCAGCATTGACGATCCACTCTGACGTCAGTTAGTGAGACTGCAGCTCTGCCAGAGCATCAGCAAGATGTGGTCAAGGACTAAACACACCTAAAATCTGGCAGAGTAAACAGGATGTTCAGAAAAGTGTAAGGAATTCTAGTCTATCTCCTTCCCTCGTATCTGAAGAGGAAATTATTGGAGTAAGAGCATCTAGGTAGAACATGCTTTTGATTTTATGACCTGTACAGAATTTTCAGCTTCTTCAGAACTTTCCCATGAGCCAAGTATACATGAAGAGAGAGGCCAGATCACCACAGCACCCACAGACCAGACAAACCAAATGAAGCCTGATTTCATTTCGTGCTGTAGCTTACACCACATAGTTACATAATGATGCCATTTAGTGACACTGGTACAAGGAGGAGGAGTACAGAAACCAGGTCCCTTCTAACTGAAAAAAAACCCATTTGTTTGCTACCAAATTTTAACTGGACAAAAATCCATGCCTGGGTTTCCATGGCACAGTCATTGAGACTGATCTCTGATGGCAACACACTTCCAGCTGCTCAGATAGCATCTGAATGATGACTCAGCCTTATTCCCTCCATCCATGCCAGACACAGCCTTGCAAAGAAGATTTACTATAAGCTTTGAAATGTGTCTCCCATGCTTCTCATGCATATGACATCCAGGGGCAAAAAGTGAAAACAAGAAACATTAATCTAAGAAATAAACTGGCAGTGCACAGCTCCAATCCACAGTCATTATGGTATGTGGCATCTTGAAACCCATCCAGAATGAAGCTAAAGAGAATTTTAGCTTTAAGAAAGGTGTCATTTGTTATGCAACCCACTCGACCAATGAGGCAACAACAAAAAACATGTAATTAAAAAATGCATGTCATTTACAGAAATCCAGCTCTGGGTAAATTCTGTGACCTGAGGAGTCATTAATTGGTCACATTTACTTACATCACTTACATGTTTTCTGTGAGCTTTCTATGGCTGCCAAATATCCCTAAATTCACTGACAACAAAATATAAAAAGACTTAGCCCATTACATGGCTATTCAAAACAAAACAAAACAAGCTGATTTAAACTTTGCCCTCAGTTAAGCAAAGACAAATTATCTGAAGCTATTTATGATCATTTGATACATACAGCATGTGCAGATTCATAGTCATGCATGTCAGGACCATTTACATAAAACCCTGTTTAACAACACTCTCACTCTATTTTTCTTCCATGCAACAGAAAGTAGAAACAAGTGCCACAAAGTTTTGACTTGAAGGCAACTAGCAAAGGAATATAAAAATGTTAATAACGTCTTTGTATAGCATTTAAAAAGCCCTCAGAGACAAGCTTCCTCCTTTTCTCCTCCTCTCTCTTCTTTTTAAGCTTTGCAGGTTTCTTCTAAGAATTTCTTATCTCTAGTAGGGATAGGATAGATATAATAAGATGAATGAAATTAAAGTGGGGAAATAAACCAGACTCTGGGTAATCTTGAAGTAAAAAAAAAAGAAAAAGAAAAAAGAAACGCAAAAAATTAAAAAAACAGGTTTGTAAAAATGTTTAATGAGCATTTTTCATTCATTTTGAAAATAAGGTAGCAATACGTTTCCTTTCACTATTCTAACACAGAATTTGATCATTCTGTGTTAATATCAGTCATGATATTAAATACCTGATACTTCTGAAAATTTCGGCTTTAATTGCCCATTCAGGGCCTGGCTTGTCCTGCAATGTGCAGTGTGGAACTTGTTATGTTTCAGACCACAGCTTACCATCCTCCTCTGACCATCATCATAGTCACACTTGGGATTCCTTTGATCTTCCCCATACTCGTCTGCCCCCAAGGATTTCTTCTTCTTTCGCTTGTTTCTTCTTTCTTTCGCGTTTCTGGGTGACATTTCCAACGAACTAAGTGACATTGAATCGATTCCTTTAGCAGCTAGTGCCTAAATCAGAAGATGATAGAAGGTATAAAATTTATTGTGTAAGGATTCCAGTGAGAACTACTACTTATGTTGCTCAGTAATTATTTTTCATTTTTAATTTTAAGGTTGCATAGGTGATGTATTAAAAAATTAAGGTGCTCTTTAACCATAAAGCTATCTCACATGGCTGGAATCAATCTTTACCTGTTTCTAGCCTCTACATTTAGCCTTAGGAAAATAAATAACAAGTGAGACAGGTTCTGGTACAAATTCACCCATGCAGGTCTGCCACCTGGATCCTGTGATGGAACACTAGGAACGGCTGCACAAAATAATGTTGTTTATGTAGAGCTCACACACAAGATTCTTTGACCTATCATGAAGGAACAGCCTGTGTGCACACAGATGCAGGTGCACACCATGCACACATCTCTGGAGTAACACTTCTGGTGCCAGGCAAAAAACAGTTCAAGCTGGGGAGCCTCAGATTAAAGTCTCCCTGGACTTCAGACACTTGAAGTGGGAGGGCTAGACAGGAAGGGCAGCCAAGCCAGGATTTTTCCTCCCCTATCACAGAGGGATGCTAGGAACAGCCAGCAATTCAGCTGGCACATTTTTGTAAACACTTATCCCAAGCAGCAGTGCAGTCAGCTACGATCAGAGATGCAAAGAGGAAACCATGGCCTTAACTGTAGATAAGGTGGACTTTGCTTTGCTGTGTGCTCTCATGCTGTGCTGGCTATCTGGTGGGATCGCTGCCGGAGTAGACTGATAACAGAGCAACTGCTAGAAGCCCAACAGAAGCTGAATGTGAAAACCTGAGCACACAAAGCCACAGCCTTGAGAGCAAATGAGCAGCCAGGAGGAAGAATCAACAGGAGCAGGGAGGAAGCCACAGCCCATGCCAACGTACTGAGTCCCCTTCCCTGGTGCAGGTGGGAGAAGCAGGAGAGTTCTAAGCACAAAGCACAAGAACAGGTTTAAAGGTGCTGAAGTCTCACTGACAGCCACATCAGTGGCCTGGAGACAAGCTCATTTGCAAAGCCCCCAGCTGAAATGCCTAAAGAGAGTGAATTATTAGAAAAAGCTTCTCCAGGTTCCCCAGAACAGGAGAAATGGATGAATCCTCAGTGCTATTTTCTGTAAGCCACTAGAATCAAACAGGCAATCATCTCTCCACTGCAAAATACTCCCTTCCTCCCACAGGCATCAGTCCAAGGAAAGTGAAGGCACTTAACAGCCGTGTAAAGAATCAATCATGTATTTCAAGGAGTAGCGGTAGCTCTATCAAGCTGAGAGCACAACAAAACTTAATTCCTGTGGGAAATATCGTTCATGAGCAAGCTGCTTAGAGCAGAGAGGAGGAGAGCTCAGACACTGGTCTAGGCTGTTATTTATTTATTTTGAGCCAATTGATTTAATTGCTATGCTGAAGTGCTTTCTCTTCATAAAGATTCAGCAAGTCTTTTGGTGTTAAGCTCAGGTCTAGGAATGTGTTAGACCAATTGTGTAAATTGACTGATAGTCCCCAAGCAGGTCTATCAATTATATTTCTGCTCTCTTTGTACTGTATAGTGTAAAAGCTGGTCTGAAGGGCTTTGTTTTTCCTTTATGATTGCTGCCATATTTTGTTGATCTAGGAATTATTGTAGGTTGTGCTACTACGTATTCTGTAGAATAAGCTAATTTTCAGTTTCTTAGCATTTTCTTACCTATTTCTTTGGTTGAATTGCTTCTGTGCTGCTTACCTCTCTCAGTTATTGAAAAAAGGATTTGGGCAGAATTGTTCCTCAGCGCACAGAGGATCATAGAATCATAGTACAGTTTGGGTTGGAAGGGACCATAAAGATCATCTAGTTCCAACTCTCCTGCCACGGGCAGGAATACCTTCCACTAGACCTGTTTACTCAGTGCTCCATTCAGCCTGGCCTTGAGGATGTCCCCATGCTCTGCCCATCCACCCTTTCTGTTTGGGTTCCTGTGGCTGGATCATGTTCTGTCCCTCAGGCACTACAAGCCATAACCCACTGCAACAACTCCCAGGGGCAGGAATGTTGTGCAGTACCAGACACGTCTGGCAAGGACATATGACGGCTGAAGGACAGAAGGAAAGCTTAGTTCATACAAATCCTGATATGGGGATTATGCAAGAGATAGTTCTTGAGCCAATAACTTAGTGGTACAGTGAGAAAGTGAAAACAAAAGTCCTGATCAAGGTTTGGAGAACAAGATTAAAACTGGGTAGCTCTGACTGGGACGAGACATTTGAGAAGGACATCTGAAAGCTACGTGGTGCAGCCACTCAATTCACTTTACTGAGCCTCATCTTCCAAACATCTATTTTGAGATATCAGGAGCTGATATGCAGAATTACTGGACTTCTCTAGTGACCATTATGGACTCAAATCACTCTACTTCTAAATTTCTTTTCCACAAAATTAGGATTATACTCCAGGAGTATTACAAATACAAATGAGTATTTTTGAAGCACATGGAGTTTGAGCATTGACAAGAGGCACTGAAAAACCCCTGAGGTTGTTAGTCACTGTCTCTTTGAAGGAGCCTTTAACTGCCCGAGTCGGGAAGTCAGCTCAAGCTGGCCTAAGGCTACAAGAGCAAATGATGAGAAAGCAAAGAGCTGCTCTTGAGTCATGCGCTGTCCACCCTTTGTACCGAACAGGGCACAGGGAAAATGAGAAATGGTTGGATGAAGAAAAGACTATACTGTAAAGCATATAGGCAAATGAGAACAATTTAGGTTTTTCACAAGTAACCTTCTTTATGCCACATTCTGACTTTCAGAGCTTAATGCTCCTTTTTTTGTCTGTGTGTACGTACAGGCTTAACTAAAATCAAATCCTTTAAAAGGAAATTCTTAAATATCTTTAATTACAGCTGGGGCTACCAAAGTTGGCTGTTATTAGGAACAGCTCAGCTGGAGTCAAAACACATGAAAATTTGTATAAAATAGGTACGAGCTGGAGCTCAGCTTGCTTCCTTAGGTTATGGCAGAGAGTTACTCTGTTCAAAGTGCCTGTACATGCACTAAATTGCATTTACCTTTTAAACCATCAAAGAGGATCTTTAAAAGGACTTAAATGATGCATAAGCCTCTAGTAGCACTTTGTCAAGGGTGAATTGCATTTTCTATTTTCTTTCCAAGGATTAAAATGGGTTTTGGATTAGGCCCTGAAGCCATATGTACCCAAAAGAAAATTATGTATATTAGTTTATATTGTGTATCAAGGATTTATTTTTCTGAAATACAGTGCAATGTGCTATTTCAGAATAATTTTCTTATTGTCTTCTTGTTCACATCACCTAAAATATTCTCTTCTGCTGCTGAATAAAGGCTTTCTACCCCCCACAAACCACATGCAAATTAAGTGGTATTATTAAGGCTACAAGGCTACATCCACCATTTGACCTCCCTGGTTTGTTTAAACTTACAACATAAAATTAAATCCACACCCTTCGCATAATTTGAAAAGTTTAACCTCAAGATCTGAGTGCTTAATTTTTCAGGAATGAAATTGTATGTACTTCAAACAGGTTATCCTGCATCTTTATCTCCATTATCAAACAACTGAATATTCATGGCAGGTTGAAGGAGACAGTGAGGAGATTAACATGTGCTAAAGAGGTGGTGGAAGAAGGTGGGGCTATGGCTGAGCTACCCAAACCACTAGTTTGTGCTCACATGCAGATGTAGTTTTATCATGCCAATCAATATAAATTTTTCTGCTGCCATGTGTGGCATGGTTAAACCAGTACAGCTCTGGATATGTAAACCCTAAATGGCTCAATCCTAACAGGGAGAACCATCATTTTTCTTTCAGAAAGAACTGTAATAACTCTGTCCTGTACTGTGAAATGTGGTCCCCTGATTCGCATCACTACGGAGCAATGTCAGAATATATATATATGTATATATATATAATTTTGTTAACATAAGCCTTATTTTATTTGTGATACTGCTTATTTGGAATTGGAAGCTGCTATGACACATAGTCAAGCATTAAAAGCCGAGAGGGCCGAGGGATCGGCGAGGGCAGAGCCGCGTCCGGTGGCACCAGGGGAGGGGTGCTCGGCAGGGCATGTGAACTGATGATTTAGGCTAAATAATAGAGATTGTTTGGACATTTTGTTTGCTTAGCATTGACCATGTTTTGTCAAGCTGTGTTGTTCCTGGAGGAACTTTTTGGGGTTCGATCTGGACAGGAATTGATTTCTGGCTGAGTCTGCCAGAGGAGAAGGGGTTAAATTTAGGCTGATGCTTTAGGTGTTTACTCATGAGCCTGTGCAAGTTCAGGAAGACTCAAGCAGGCAAAGGGAGCATGTCCCAACAAAGACCTCCCTCTTCTCAGGACAGTCATGAATATGTATTAACAACAAGTTTATAAACTGAACCAGGCCCTGTTCGGTGTGTGTTGGTAGAGCAGAGACTCCCCGTGCACCCAGCACTGTTTGCTTGCTTAAATTCGCATAATAAATTGAAAATTTTGACTGCAATCCTGTTTGGGGACTCAGTCATTTATCACAAGTACAATAAACTTGCTTTCAAGCAAACCCTTTGGTTATCACATAAATGTAAAACAAAGAGAACATGAATCTCAAGGTACCATCTGTTCTAATTACCCAAGGCTAATCATGTCACATAGTTCACTGACCTCCTGCTCTTTCTTTAACATCTCCATCGCTTCCCGAAACTTTCTTTCTTTCTCCTCTGTTTCAGCAATAGTGGCTTGGTTCTGCTCTTCATATGCCATGGCCACAACAGCCAGAATCAGGTTCACCAGATAAAATGAGCCCAGAAAGATGACCAGCATAAAAAAAAGCATGTAGATCTTCCCAGCAGATCTGAGAGTCTGTAAGCACAATAATAAAACCATGAACACTGGTTTACAATGCTTTGTAAAAAAAAAAAAAAAGACAACCTTACAATCAGTTGCAGTGAAAAATTCCCACACACAGCTCAATCTATTTTTGCCCAGTAACCATCCAAGCAGGATTCATGTTGTATCCCTTCAGACTTATACAGCCTAGGTCCATTGTAGTTAGTGGGGAGAAAAAGATACTTTGAGGGTGACATCTGCCTCAGGATAAGAACCAAACCTTGGGCTCTGTTGACTGTGTTGCCTGGTTCTTCCCCAGATTAACTAGATAACTGTAGTTCAGGGAAACAGGCTGAGCTTATATGTAACAGATATGTCCCATGCTCAGGGACTTGATGCTACTGATAGAAAACACTGTGTGATATTATAAGGTCAAATAATAAAAGCGAGTGATGTTCATCCTTATTTGCCATGACAGTTTCTGTCTTCCAGAGTTGTACATACAGCTCTGTGTCAAGTAAGTGAATACAGTTGTTGAAAGAATCCTCATTTTCATTGTTTTACATTTTCCTGAAGTTGTATAACTGGCTGTATGTGAAGCTGAAATCCCCAAACCTTTTGATGATGGCTAACTGGTACCTTCAGAGTAGTTCTGTCAGCAGTATCTCTTGATTTCCTTATGATCATGTTCCAGTTTTGGAAATTTTGAGATGCAGCAGTAAATCTTTGGTGGCTTCATGGATAGATTATGTCATTCAGTACCAATCTATCACATGCAGTTCTTCAGAGTTTGCATACATTTCAGGAAATTCATGCTAAAATGACTCACAGACCATCTTGCATACACGACTGTAAGTGGACTCTGTTTGTGTGTCTGGCTGTCAGGTGTCCATGATAAAGAACTTGCAGAAGGGAGAAATGAAATGTACCAGGTACTCCTGGCATTTGCCGAAATTGTTTTCAATACCATGCCTTGCAAAACCAGATATACCAAGTGCACAGGTGCTTCTCTAGCCTTTTTTTGAGCTGAACTCAAAAGACTAGTTTGTGTTATACCATCCACCAAAAATTCATCAAGTGGCGACATGGTGATCTTTCTTAAGTGGTGCACTTCATTTAGACTCAGGTGAATTAGTCATTCAAAGTGTCTTTCTCTCACTGCCACTTTTCCTTAATTTCCCCTAACACCCAGACTAATGCCTTTTGATGTCATCCTTCTTAAGAAAGTAAATTAATTGTAGCAATTGATGGTCTTCTCCAGAACACACACAAAGCACAGTTTACTTAACAACCAGCAATTGTTTCTTGTCTTCAACTGTTAGACAAGTCACTGTAACCAGCTGATGTGTTTATTTTATTGTTAACAGTAATAAAATAATATCATACCTGTTGGTAAAGACGTTCCCAATAATCTTGAGTCATAAGACGGAACAAAGAGAGAAAAGCCCAGCCGAAAGTATCAAAGCTTGTGTAACCATGGTCAGGATTTTCCCCAGCTTTCAGACATATATATCCCTCAGGGCATGTGCTGCAAAACATGAAATACAAACTATGAGATACATCTTAGATGGCTTCAACATGGGGAAACTGATTTCCAGGGAAAGATATTGAATGCTCTTTGTTAAGAATACAGATCATCAATGGTGTTGTGGTTTAACCCCAGTCAGCAGCAAAGCCCCAGACAGACTCTGACACACTCCCCCACCAGTGGGATGGGGAGAGAATCAGAAGGGTAGAAAAGAGAAAACTTGTGGGTTAACATTAAAAAAAAAATTAATAGGGAAGGAAAAAGCCATACACAAAAGAAAAACAAACCGAAAAATTAATTTGCAGTTTCCCATGGGCAGGAGATGTTCAGCCATCTCCAGGACAGCAGAGCACCATCATGCATAACGGTCACTTGGGAAGACAAATGCCACCACTCCAAACAACCCCTCTTCCACCTTCTTCCTCCCACTTTATATACTGAGCATGATGTCATATGGTATGGAATATCCCTTTGGTCAGTTTGGGTCACCTGTCCCAGCTGTGTCTCCTTACACCTCATATGCACCCCCAACGTATTTGCCAGTGTGGCAGTATGGAAAGCTTTGTGTAAACTCTGCTCAGCAATAACAAAAACACCTCTATTTTATCAACACTGTGTTCAGCACAAATCCAAAATGCAGCCCCATACCAGCCACTGCACTGTGAAGTAATTCTACCCCAGTCCAAACCAGCACAACGATACATTCCTTCTCTGGGTAAAAACACAGGAAATATTGATACTTCACAGTACCAAAAATCTTTGTAATCTTATTTTTCCTTTGAAAGGATAAACTGGAATATAGTAACCATAGCTTGAGCTGCAATCACAAATGAGCACCTAGCACTTCACATATCTGGAATAGACTGGAATTAAGTGTCTAAGCAGGACTGCTTAAACGATACATTCCTTCTCTGGGTAAAAACACAGGAAATATTGATACTTCACAGTACCAAAAATCTTTGTAATCTTATTTTTCCTTTGAAAGGATAAACTGGAATATAGTAACCATAGCTTGAGCTGCAATCACAAATGAGCACCTAGCACTTCACATATCTGGAATAGACTGGAATTAAGTGTCTAAGCAGGACTGCTTAAATATAATTTCTCTTGGCACTTATTCCTAATTAAGAATCTTAAACTTGATGTCTCCTGTTACAGTTGCAGGCAATACTGTGATGGTGAACCTGCTTTTCTGGTTCCGTAGTCTGACACTGGCTGGACAACATCAGTGTCTGCCATCTGAGCACCTTCCTGATTGCTTACTGTGCCTGACCTTACACTCACCCCCAACAAGGATTAAATCTTTAATCTAAGAAACCCAGCCCTTTGTTCCGCTCACCGCCACAGTCTGAGGTCATGACATTTTTTCTATTTCTGCCAGGAAAAAGCTTTCCTTGTATGTCTTGCAGATTACCGTATTAAATGGCATGCAGATAGCATGAACTTCACTGTCTCTCATTAACCTTTGAGGCTCTTTACAAGCAATTTTCTAGCCCCATATGCCAGAAGAGATAAAGAATGTTCTCCGTGGGACTGTGTAAGTACTGAATTGCATCATCAAGAGAAATGCAAGGAAGAAGAGATCCCAGGCCAATGCGCTATCTGCACTCCCAGAACAGTCTAGTATGATTAACCAAAAACACCACACCTCTAGCATATCACAAGCTGCTCCCCAAACATAAGGCATGACCCATCGGAAACTGAAGACGTAGAGCAATATACAAAAGCTTCTGTATGTATCCTAGGAAGAGAATAGGAGATGAAGGACATTGCCGGTGTCCTGTAGCCCTACAGTATTTGGGAATTTGTTAGGTGGGAGCCATCGAACTATCAAAAATTATTAACCTTCGACGAGATGGCTACAACACTGGTGGACAGGGGCACAGCAACCGACATCATCGATCCGGACTTATGCAAAGTGTTTGACACTGTCCCACACAACATCCTTGTCTCTAAATTGGAGCGACATGGATCTGATGGCTGGACCACTCGGTGGATAAAGAACTGGCTGGCTGGTCACAGGCAAAGAGTTGTGGTCAGTGGCTCATTGTCTACGTGAAGATCAGTGATGAGTGGTGCCCCTCGGGGGTCAGTGCTGGGGCTGATACTATTCAACATCTTTGTCGGCACAAGGAGAGTGGGATCAGTGCTCCCTCAGCAAGTTTGCTGATGACACCAAGCTGTGTGGTGCAGTCACACACTGGAGGGAAGGGATGCCATCCAGAGGGACCTTGACAGGCTTGAGAGGTGGACTGATGCCAACCTTATGAAGTTCAACAAAGTAAAGTGCAAGGCTCTACACCAGGGTCACAGCAATCCCAGACACACCTGTAAACTGGACAGAGAAGTGATTGAGAGCAGCCCCACAGAGAAGGACTTAGGAGTGACGGTTGATGAAAAACAACATGAGCTGCAGTGTGTACTCACAGCCCAGAAAGCCAACCAAATCCTGGGCTGCATCAAAAGGACTGTGGCCAGCAGGTTGAAGAAGGTGATTCTCCCCCTCTAGTCTGCTCTCATGAGACTCCACCTGTAGTATTGCATACAGTTCTAGCATCCCCAGCATAAGAAGGACATGGAACTGTTGGAGCAAGTCCAGAGGAGGCCATGAAGCTGATAAGAGGATTGGAGTACCTTTCCTACAAATATAGGCTGAGATAGTTGGGACTGTTCAGCGTGGAGAGGAGAAGGCTGCATGGAGACCTCATAGCAAACGTCCAGTATTTGAAGGGGCTGAACAGAAGCTGGAGAGCAACTTTTTGTCAGAAGCTGTAGTGATGGGACCAGAGTAAGGGGTATAAATTGAACGAGGGGAAATTTAGAGTAGATACTAAGAAGAAATTTTTTTAATGTGAGGGTGGTAAGACACTAGAACAGGTTGATCAGGGAGACTGTAGATGCCCCAATCCTGGCAGTGTTCAAAACCAGGCTGGATGAAGACTTGAGCAAACTCATCTAGTGGGGAGATATCCCTTCCCATGATGGTGTGGGGGGAGGGGGTGGGGGATTGGGACTAAATGGACTTATGTCAGCCTTATGAAGTTCAACAAAGCAAAGTGCAAGGTTCTACACCTTGGTCCATTCCAAGGTCCATTCCAACCCATTAACATACTATGATTCTATGATTCTGTGATTCTATGATCTGGAGAAGCAGACGTCAGCAGAACTTGCAGTAACACCAGCTCTTCCTGTTCTCCTTCTTCAGATATAGATGAACCTGATATGATTTGGTGCAAATTCTACCTGACACAACCAGGGATGGCTGGAACATGAGGGATTGTGAAAGCACTTGTCAGAGACCAGAGACCTTGAGAGAGATCAGCTTTCAGGCAGTGTCATGAGACTAGATCAATACCCTCTGTCCTGGCTTATGGTGAGCTTGATGTTCTGCTTGTTAGATGGAGGAACCAAGGTTTAGTCAACTGCCTTCAGATAGGATTATCAAGGCAATGTCCACCCATTTTAGACATGTCACCAGTCATGCATGTAGAGTGTGTCCAGTGTGTACAGGTTTTAGCTTTTTTTCTCCCAGCAAAAAAGTGTGAAGTTTTTCAAGCACTATTTTTTACCAAAGCAGAATATTGCCACAAATTGAAATGCAAATCAGTAATATAAATAATGCAAAGTAATTTTTAAAATTACACACACAAAAAAAAAATTGACCCCTGATAAAACAGAGCATGTCACAGTGTGAAAATCAGTGTTCTTTTCCTTAAAAAAATATCAATTTTATACTTATATAAATCAAATTTTTACAGCATAGGACAGCAACACTGTACTGCATGTTGACATGAGAATATACTGATGTAGGTTTTGAAGTGATACAAATCTCTTGTGTCTGCCACCAACATTAGACATTCAACAGTTCACCATTCAACACTTTAAGAATCTTAATTTAATATTAGTAGTCAAACACAAATTTTAAAGTAAGTCTGCTTTGAACACTGATAAAAGGAGTGCTGAAGCATTGCAAATATGTGCAGATCCTTGTTTACAGAAGTTTTCAGAAAAAGCAATAAAAAATGAACAGCTGATGTTTAGTGAATTAAATGGAACACACAAGTGAGAGTATAATAAGTGATTCTGTCACTTTAGGTAGAGCCAAGTTAGCTTATATCGGTTGAGAATTCAGATAATAACAACCATATCTCACAAAAAAAGAAGAAGAGAGTTACTTCTAATTTTTTCCCTGCCACTCTAGAAATGCCTCCTTCTAGATCTTTCTTATTTTGACTATTGTTTCCTTTTAAGAGCCACATTTAAATAAAAATTACAGTGACACTACTGAGTTAAAAGATAATAAAACACAGAAATCTCAGCCTTTTCCCCCTAAAATACACAGATGCACATTGAATCTCTCTTGTATACTGATGTTCTTTTTTGAGACAGACTTTTCACTAAATCTCCTCTCTCCCAAAGGCAACATCTGCTGTCACTCTCTGCCATAGACACATGAGATTTCTGCCTCTGATCTGCTGCTGTGAACAGCCTTCATTGCCCATGACGTGCTGCTCACACTGTTCAAGAGCGCTGAGAAATGGTTTCTCTGGCATCCCAGGAAGGAATCCCTTTCCGCTTGCTTGCACTAAGACATCGTGTCTATGCAGGACATGAAAACTTTTGTAAAGCTCATTCTTTTTGCCACAAGAAAATGACTGCACTCACACACTATGCTTGGATGGAAAATCAGTGATTATGTCCAAAGGTGGACAGCCCTTTCCTTAGTCTTCCACAAAAGACCAACCCCAAGTGGCTCCATTCAGCTGGTGTCATTGCTCATATTTCAGTATTATTACTAATGGCTAAAACATCTGAATACATCTGGCAGTTAAGCCCAGGCAGGGCAGTAATTTGGAAATTCGGCTTCATCTAGAACAAGTTGCTTACAAACTTAGGCAAAATGGAAATATTGTCATTAATACCAATGAGAGAGAGAATTTCCTCTTAATCTCTTCACCACTTTGAACAAGAGTCTGAAAGAAAGAGGACATTAGGCACGT